TTACACAAAAATCAACCTCGTTCTCCTTCAAATCATGGAGATCAACTAAATCTCATGATCTATTCTCTCAAACATGAGGCTCTCAACGCAGAGCGCGTGCATAGAACAGGTGGTTGAAAGCAACTTCACCATTCTACTCTAACTTTGAGTCGGACTTTAATTCGCACCATTATCCATAAAAACCCTCACGATTTGGATCTATCCTCGTAGATTCCTCTTTGTTTAGGGAATGTCGTTGCTGACCCCGCTTGTGTAGCAATCGCTCTGCAACCTTCTCTGTTGCAATCTCCAGCCGCCCTCGAACCATGCTCTGATACCACTTGATGCAGAAAGGAAAGGTAGGAAATTGAATCTAAATAAGTAAAATCAGCAATAATGGAGAAAGAACATTGTTGTAAATCAAGCCAAGAGAAAAAAAAAATTTACTTTAAAATAAAATTTATTCCAATAACATTTCTCCCAAAATGTAACATTACAACCTTTTATAAGCCTATGAAACTCTAAAACAACACTAAAATTCCCAAAATACCCTATGAACAGTAACACGTGAGCAGTAACTGTGAACAGTACCATGAATAGTACTCGTGAATAGAAAATAAAGAAAATTAATCCCAAAATAAAATCAAAATATACATCTTTTAAAATTGAATAGAAATTAAAAATAAATATAATTTTTCCCTTCATCACTATCCACTTGCACCCTATGGAATTTCGGTTAGGTGGTAGGCAAATTAAGTTCGGTACATTAATTTTGGCAATGGAGTTCATCTCATCCTCCATAGCTTCGAGCCATTGTTGACTCTCGGGACATGGCATAGCTTCTAGGAAGGTACTAGGCTTGTAGCCCGGCTCCTCCATAATTCTTTAAAAGGCTTCTCCTAAGTAGATAAGAAATTAGGTGGTCTCCTAATTCTCTCTCTCTCTCTCTGCAATAGGTTGACTCACATGTATAGGTGGTCTATGCTCTTGCCCCCCTCCATTTCATAGAAATCGGCTTGTTTGTGTGTCACCTTTCCTTATTCATCATTAAGGAAATGTGCATCACAACTTTCAATTACTGTCCCATTGGACAAATCGTAGAACCGATACGTCTCCCATGGTGTGGGTAACTTATGGATATACATTTGATGGTCTTTGGTTGGAGCTTAGTTCTATTTTACGTCTCCCATGGTGTGGGTAACTTATGGATACACATTTGATGGTCTTTGGTTGGAGCTTAGTTCTATTTTGCAAGGGTACGAGAACAAGGGTCAAGCATCCCCAAACTTTGAGGTGATTGAAGGGATTCGACCGGTGTAGATTTGGTAAGGAGTTAGATGGGGTTTGGTGGGTGACCACTTCACCCCAAAATCGAGGCTAAATTTGGTAGTTGCCATTATACTCCGTACCAATCTCTCTATAAAGGTTTAGTTCCTTCTATCAGTGACCCCATTTGGTTCGGCTAAGTTAAGCATTGTAATTTGGTGTACAATCCCATGTTCAATGCAAAAATCGCGGAAGGCATAGGAGGTGCACTCTCCACCTCTATCAAATCTGAGGGTCTTAATTTTAGATCCTACCTGATTCTCTACCTCGGCTTTATATTGTCTGGATTTCTCTAAGGCTTCGCTTTTATTATGTAGGAGTTAAGTACGGCCAAGGCAGGAGTGGTCATCAATGAAGTTGATAAAATACCTCATGGAGCCCTTAGAGGCCACACTTGTAGGCCCACAAATGTCCATGTGGATTAATTCTAATAACTTAGTTGCCCTTTTGACTTTAGTGTGGGGTCTCTTTGCCATCTTTCCTTGGATACAAGCCTAACATGTGTTTTTGAAATCATCATCCAAATTTTTAAGAAATCCATCCTTTCTTAATCTTTCCATGTGTCCTTTGCCTATGTGACCTAGTTTTCTCACATATAGAAACTTATTGTTCTCTCACATAATATCCCACATACTAATGCAGCCTTGCATCGGTCTCACATGGCAACTCTATATCCTCAAAATGCTCATTTCTGACCCACTAAGGGGCTCTCCAATTATCTAAAAGAGTATGTTAGGCCACTCAGTGGATCGCCCACACGTCAGCAAACCAAATAGGTTTGCATTGGCATGATGGCAACCCTTTGCATGTAGTTCATGAATTTATTTAGGAGTTCAAGGATTTTATTTGCATCGGTCCCATATATACATTGGAAAATCAGGAGTCACATATTAGCATGCTAGGAATATTCATAATGAACTTTAATCCAACCATAAATGGCACACATTTATTCACCCAAAATAAATAAATAATGGCACACATCAAGTGACTCATGTTTTTTCAAAACGGTACAACACATAATCAATGGTACAATTCTTATAAAATGGTGGAAGGAAACACATAGGCCTATAAAAGATGAATTCAAAAAATGAAGAAGCCCAAAAATTCTTTCTAGTGTTCCACAAGTCATTATCATGGTTTCAAAAATCAAACCGCCTGGTGCCTAGGCGATCCAAGGGGCCTGGGTGATGGATTTCCTGGGCGGGGAGTCCCTGGGTGGCTGCCTAGGTGCCTAGGCGCTAGGCGCCCAGCCCTGGACAGCCGCCCACGACCTACGCCCCACACAGGGGCGTAAATGCCCCTCACTGAGAGGCCTTTTTGTCTTTTTTACCCCTAAATTAGGGAAAATTGGGGTTTGGGTTATTGTATGACCTAAACCCCTTTGTTTACCTTTAGAGTGGAAAAAAATTTAAAAACAATTACTTTTTCATATTTCTAAGAGATCAATTGGGTATTTTAAAGTTTTGAAAAATCAATCCAAACATTGTCTTTTTTATTTGGATTTGATTTTCATGATTTTTTAAGCTTACTAGAGGGTTTTTAGGAAGTATATGACATTGAAAAACATCTCTAACATTGAAGATTGTGCAAAACGGTTAGTTAAAATATCTTCATATTTGAGATTTTATTTGTTATTTCAATGTCTTCTTTGGTTTCTTCTGGAAGTGGTGATCCGGATATAAGTATGATTATAGCCCAAATCCAAACGACAAAAATCATATAAGAGGTAATTATTGTGAGAAAGATACTAATGGGGGTATAAATTGATTCAAAGAACACCTTGCTAGTATTAGGAGGATATTACCCCTTTTAAAAATGTTCCTGAAGCTACCATAGAGGGGATTAAGTAATATATGAGTTTAGTAAAACACAAATAGGAACAAAAGCATTGTCATTTGGATAGGTCTACTTCTGGTTCTTCTAGAGAGGTGATCCAGGTTGGAACTATAGTTATAACTCGAAACCAAACAATAAAAATTGTATAAGGTGTAATTTTGGTGAAAAAATACCAATGGAGATATTAACCACTTCAAGAAACACCTAGTCGATATTAAAGAGAATGTTGCTTTTTGTAAAAAAGTTCTTGAAGCTATTGGGGATGAGATTAGACAATATTTGAATTTAGTAAACCTAGAAAAAGAAGAAAATGAGCCTTGTTATATGTGAATATCTTCTTCAGGTTCTTCTAGAAGTGGTGATCCAGGTTGGAAGTATGGTTACAATCCAAATTTGAATGACAAAAATTGTATAAGGTGTAATTATTGTGGAAAGGAGTATGTTGCTGGTTCAAGAAATACCTTGCCGGTATTAAGGGGCATGTTGCCCCATGTAAAATGTTTCTGAGGCTACCAGGGAGGGGATTAAACAATATATGAGTTCAGTGAAACACAAAAAGCAAGAAAAGGGTGAAAAAGCACCAGGTAGAGCAGCCAAGACCCCTAGGGTCTCATCTGAATAGAGTAATAGGGTCTCATCTGAATAGAGTAAGAGGAGGGTAGAAGGAGAGGAGGAAGAGGCAAATTCAGAAAAAACAGAGGAGACGAGCGTTATGTTGAAGAAGGAGATGACTCTCATGATGATGACCTCGAATCTGATATATATGATGAGGCTTACCCACCTTTTTCTGATGATGACTGAAGACACTTGACTCTTGGTGTTAAGTCTTAGACTGTATATTTTCTTTTTCTTATTTTCAAGTTTCTACTATCTACTCTTATGTGTATGCTTGTATGGGTGTATCATTGTATGAAATATGGATTACGGAATGATATGCACTATGGAACATGGAGAATGGTCTATGGAGTATGGATTATAGATTGTGCCTATACTACTAATTTAACAACTACTATTATATTTCACTTTTGTTGGTGCTAGTAGTATATCTATTACAAATGTACAAAAGTTTGGAATGGGATTTTTATTATTTTATGATGTATATACAGTATACTCATATTTTCCTGCCCCTTGCTCCTCTTCTTCAACCTAGGTTCTAGGCCGCCCAAAACCTGGGCAGCCGCCTAAGTGCTGGCAGGCAAAACCCCCCAGCCACCTAGGCGACGCCCGGCATTTTCTGGAGCACTGTTCATTATCATATATGTATTGTCTCTTCTAGCTCCTCTTATGCAAAATTTTGGTTGAGATAAAGAATTTTCAAGTTCAAGATCTAGCTCGTAGATGGGTTTACCATTTCTTTTGTTCATATACATCAATTTGCTCCCACAAGGTTTTTTCACAAAATCTTTGAAGTGAGTCTGGGGCAAAGGCAATGAATACTTCTTTTATTCCCTTTATAGATTAGCTTTAGAAATTTTCATTCTAACTCTAAAGGTTTAGTGGCTATGAAGTACTCCACTTTAACCTTGTTGCTATCATAATATAGTCATATAAAAGTTTTCGGGTATTCCTTCCTCAAGGTATGGGTGTCTCTTGATCTAGTGGTAGCATCCATGACAATGAAGTCATGGAGTATTACATAATCACTATTTTATTCAACACATAATCTAATATCAAATATCATTAAATATACACAATATGGTTATGAGGGCAAATGAGCAATTAACCAATATAATAAAGACCAGATTGGTCGTTGAACTGGTGAAGACAACAGTCCTGTTGGGTCTATTGTTACTAACATCAATTTGTTTTCCCCTAAAAAATATCCAACCACAAGAAGGAAAGAAGTTAAGAAAACTTACGGTGCAGATTCCATGTTTGGAAGGATGTCAGATGACTCCTTTTTTTCATCTTTTGTACCTAAGAATCAAAAATATTAATAAAACTTTGTATCAAAGAGCATTTTATTGAAGAATCCCAAAAGAATTTAAGAAAGAATAGAAGTAGACACAATGCTGAAAATACACAGCTCAAGCAGCAAATACAAAAAGATGGTCTAGGCAAGAAGGTCTTTACCATCAGCTGGAGAATCTGGAAGGTATTTTGCCAGACGATACTTCTAAAGAACAGCATAACGAAATTCAATCAGCATCTTTTTTTTCTTATTGGGAAGTTCAGTGGTAGGAATCGAACTTGAGATGTAGCGTTGCTTGACATCAACTGCTAACCACTCAAGCCCAAGCCCGATTCCTTCAATTCAATCAGCATCAAACACTTGGAAAACATCAGTACTAAATAGCCTCAGATGTAAAAAGAGTATCATAAAAGCATAAAAAAGGCACCATAAATACCTGCAAATGACTTTTAACATGATATATAGTCAATCCAGGTACTCCCATTACCCTTAACACACCCTTTGGTGTTGCTCCTGAACCAAAGAGAAAATAATTTATCATACATCATATACAATGCAGGAAGCATTGCAATGCCCCATACTAAAGCATTTGGTCTGTAATACAACATCACTCCATAGTACAGTTATCAAACAGATAAAGTGATAATAGTTAATCCAGGTAAATGTTGGAGGAACAGCCATGAAAAAGACCAAACTCTTTGGAATGTCAGCATGATAAAATCCATAAATAACTCAAATGCAAACAAGGGGTAATCCAATATGAAACAATAAATTGCAGGACATTCCAATTTGAACCGATACATTTAAGATATTAAATTCAAAGGAAGTTCATGTTCTGGCTCGTAGGTTCTCTGTACAAGGGATGACTTCACCATGACCTGGTTGGGAGCATATTGTTTGGTCAATCTCTATCTATGGTGTAGTAGTACTAGAAAAGGAGCTTCTATGACCCTATGGATCGCAGCTCACGCAAAGGGTATCCAAGCTTTTATGTAATAAGCAAGACCAAGTTTCTATTAGGTGTCAACTGAACCACATTTACTGAAAAACAGGTGTATGGACTATGGACTAATTACAGATCATTAAATAATACAAAGATCAGTATCAAACAATTAGATCTTACAAGTTCATCATATACACTTTTCTTGGAAAGACGAGAATTAAGATTGAGGTAAGAATACGTCCCATATGGTAGAATGGCAGGCAAGTTTAAATTTTTGCCTTGGAGAATAAGCTGTTTTAACAATACAATTTTCCCTTGCATACAAGCAACATACTAGCATTTTTTAATAGTAAAAATTCTTTAAGAGGCCCTGATCTAAGGGTAAAGCGCATCATGACTCTAATAGCCTCTAGATTCATAAACAACTGTTCCAATCCCTATTCTATCTGCAGAACCTAGGAAATTTGCTTCCAGCATCAGGAATACTCCCAAACTGATACCTGTATTTGTGCAACCATACCATATTTTCCCTCCTAGAGACTCCTGTATCTAGTTTTGATGATTATTCCATATAGAGAGCCCCAAGAAAAGAGGAGAAACCATGAAAGTTAGTTATGAAAAAACGATTGACTCCATTAGGGTTCCATTCCCTTGGTCTAAGCTCAATAACTACGACATAATCTATGTTAAGTGCACTTCTTCTCACTTGTATTTAAGATCATTGGCTTTCAGACATTGAATCTTACCACCAATGTATTCTTAGCATTTTCCAACCTACGTGCCTACGTTCTTGAAATCTTTTGTCACGGTTGTCATCTAGTTAGTCTACTCTTGTCATCACTCGAATTTCTCATGAACCAAGTGGAACTGGATACAATGGCTGAGAAACACAAGTTCAGATATACTCAAGGATATCAGGTGCTACAACAAATCTGACTGCGGATAGCAAGGCAAAATACTAGGCAATGAACCAACAGAAGAATTTACTTGCCAGACATGGAGATATTTAGATCTCCCAATATACAGAAGAATTTAGGTCCTTAAAGTTGGACCAAATGTGTAGCATGGCGATTTAGATGCTTGGTATGCGAGGTCCCTCCCATCCATGAAAGAACTAGGAAGTGAGAGTATGGGACTCAGGGACAATCAAGAGGGAAACCCCAATAAATCAGATCCTCACTTGCTCCACTCCCAAACTTTGGGGAGGTTGCCAAACCGATGTAGACCTACGGTTGAGGTGTTTTGAATGTGTGACTGCTTCAAACATGTGAACCTAAAAACAGCAAAACAAAAGAGAAAATAGCATATAAAAAACCTATAACACATTGGAAGAAAATAGGATAGTTTCATTAGGGTTTCATATCTACATAATATAATATATACAATACAAAAACTAATTACCGTACCTTGGGTGTATGCACAATTAGCCAGATACCCACAGGGATGTATTGTAGCATAAAGATATGTGCAAATTACAATTCTACCTCACAATGTAACTTTTTCTTTTATTGGCAAAATTTCTCCATTTTGTTAACAGGTAAAAATATGCCAATCTCAGCCATATAATTTCTATATTACAAATATTGATAAAGAAAAATAAGACTTATAATATAATCGGTCCTAGGAGGTTCTGTCAGTTGGAAGACTTATAAACAGAATCAAATAATCTTGAATAAGGCATGTGCAAGAATGCAGAATTTATCATTGAAACTTGGTTCAGGAATAGTTGCAGGCATTGTTTTACGGAGTCCATATACCCTAGTTTCCAGCCTATAGCAGTTTAAGAGACACTTTGAAAGACGCATTATAACTGAGCAGAATAAAATGGTGCCAATTTACATAATAAAGCATATTCACAAAAAATACATCCATGGAAGAACGTAGTCCCACAATTTTCCAAAAATTATAGGGTAGGCTATACTTGCATGATATGATCTCAAATTCGCACAAACTCCATACATGAGATGAAGATGATGCCAAGTCACGCATTGAATATTTTATACATGACCAAACGAGATATTCACATTACAGATAAAAATACCCACTATCTGGTCCACCAAGTTGTGCAATTGCATCGACAAAACGATCGTGAAGATCTGACGTCCATCGCAATCGTTGCTTTCCAGCTCCTCCAGAAGTAGGAGACTTGTTTATCGGCGATCCTCCCGAAACACCAATATTTGCAAGTTGGTCGGCACCCTGAGATTGAGGTTTATGAGGCACTAGGCCCATAGTTGAGAACTTCTTAGGATAGTACATGTTGAATGGGCTGCATGATCAGACAAGATATTAGTGTCTGAAATATTTAAATTAATTGAACATGATTTACATGGAAATATATACCTTCCAATAGAATTTCCACACACACAAATGATCGTTAAATGAGTTAAGCCAACATGTGTTCATATTCCTTAGATGGTCAGGGTGAGGGTGCCACAACGTGACATCTTGAGTTTCATTCCTAGTAGATCCTAAGATATATATATAGAAAACGTTTATATAGAGCCGAGGCTCTAAACAATCAAATTAGAGCACAGTGCCCACCTTCAAAATTTCACTAGAAGAGGTTGTTTTGATGCCCATATATCCTCAAATTGATCATCCTGACAACAAGATGAATGGACTTCAAGTATTGGAAATAGTGCATCTTGTAACGCGTTTTTGGAGCGTCCATTTTCAAGATTTTCAAGTTTTCATAGATCTACTCGATCTACACTATTTTTGAAGCTTTAAATTTTATAATTAAAGATGAAAATATATTTTAAGGCTATCACAAAGATTTTCAGTATTGAAATCACATTTCTCGACACCATTTGAAGGTGTGCTTTACTTTGATTGTTTAGAACCCCAGCTATATACAAACCACACTATATATATATATATATATATATATATATATATATATATACACACACTACTACTACTTACTTTACGTTTTAATTTTTAAATTTTAACTTTTATTTTACTAATATTAACTACTACTACTAGTACGTTAAGTACTA